TTGTTAGAACTGAATATAAATTTATGGAAATTGCCTTATTCACTGAACACTAGGTTTTCCAGTTCTGTTCATGCTGATACATATAGATCTAATTTATTCAGAAGTGTTAAGCTTGAATTTTCACTGAACACACCTATATAATCAGCACCCAGTTCAAGAAACAGAACATTAATTACCAGCATTCCTGAACTCCTTCTGATGTCTGTCTTTGCCTCTTTTGCTCAACATTATTTATGAAATTATCCACTTTGTTCTGCATAGTTATAGTCTGCTCTTTCCCACTGGTATATATTTTGTTTCCTTAAATCAATTAAACTTTTAAAATTTATCCATTAACTATTGATGGGCCTTTGCATATTTTCCAGTTTGTGTCTGTCAACATACAGACACAAAACTGATGCTATCAACATTTAGTATATAATTTTGTGAAAATATATATGTACTTCAGTTTGGTATGTGTCTGAGATTTGCTGGGTTATAGGGTATGTATGGAGAAGGAAATGGGAACCCACTCCAGTACTCTTGCCTGGAGAATTCTGTGGACGGAGGAGCCTGGTGGGCTACTGTCCATGGGGTTGCAAAGAGTCGAACACAACTGAGGTGACTTAGCATGCATGCATGCGTTGGAGAAGGAAATGGCAACCCACTCCAGTATTCTTGCCTGGAGAATCCCAGGGACAGAGGAGCCTGGCGGGCTGCCGTCTGTGGGGTTGCACAGAGTCGGACATGACTGAAGCGACTTAGCAGCAGCAGCAGCAGGGTATGTATATGTTCAGCTTTAATAACAGTGACACGAACACTTTTCCAAAGTATTATATAAAATTACGCTCCCACCAACAGTGAATGAGAATTCAGGTTACTCTGCTTCCTTGACAACATTTGATATTTTCTCTCTTTTTCATTTTAGGCATCAAATTGTCATATTAACTCACTGTGGTTTAATTTGCACTTCTCTGATTATTAGTGAAGTTTTCATATATTTATTGGTCATTTAGATATTCTCTTTTATGATATGCTTCAATATTTATATTTATACTTAACTGTTTTTCTAATAAAATCTAAAGATATTCATTGCCTCTATTAGATAAGGAAGGACCTTAACGATTTTTTAAATTATTATTGTTCCCTTACTTATTGATTGTATGCCTTTGAGCAAGTTACTTAACCCCATTTTTGCCTCATCTGTTTCCTCAGCTATAAAGTGGGGAAATAGAGCTGTTGTGAGAATTAAATGAGTTAGTATAAACACTTTGAGTAGTGCCAAATAGTGTTGTATAGTATTTGCTCTATAAGTAATATGTTGTTATTCATGAAAGGGAATATATCAAGGGAACAGAATAGAGAGTCTAGAAATAGACTGACACAAATATAGCTAATTGATTTTTGACAAATGTACAACAGCAACTCTATGAAGAAAGTGTAGTCTTCAACAAATGGTGTTCAAACCACTGGAAATGCATATGCAAAAAAGACCTTGACCCCTATCTCACACCTTATGCAAAAATTAATTCAAAATGAATCAGAAATTAAATGTAAAACATAAAACTGAAAATATTTTATAGGAAAACATAGAAGAAAAGCTTTGTTGCCTGGATTAGATATAGTGCTCTTAGAGAAGGACCCATAGCACAAGTCATAAAAGAATTGGTTTCACTAAAATTTAAGTTTTGCTTTGTGAAAGACATTATGAAGGGAATTGAAAAGACAGTCTGCAGCTGGGAGAAAATATTTGCAAACCACATATCTGACCAGGAACTTGTATCCAAAATACATAAAGAATTCTAAAAATCTGCCAAGATTTGAACAAACACTTCGCTGAAGAAGATATGAATGGCAGATAAGCATGTGGAAGGATGCTCAGCATAACTGACTAAGGAAATGCAAATTAAAACCACAATAGGATCCCACTGTGTATCTATTAGAATGGCTGAAATGAAACTGACAATACCAAGTGGTTGCAATGATACAGAGCATGGGAAACTGTTGTATAACATGGCAGGAAAGCAGGGCAGAGTGGCCACTTTGGAAAGCAGTTCCGTAGTTTCTTATAAATTTGAATATATGCTTGCTACATGGCACTACTGAATTAAAAATTTATGTTCAAACAAGCACCTGTATGCAAGCGTATAGTATGCCTTATTCCTAACAACCCTAAACTGGAAACAACCAAATGTCTGTCTGCTGGGGAATAAACTGTGGTCCATCTATAAAATGAAATGTTAGTCAGAAATAAAAAGAAACAAACTACTGATACACGCAACAACATGGATGAATCTCAAATGCATTGGTAATAGTTTAGTTCCTAAGTCATATTCCACTCTTGAGATCCCATGGACTGTAGACCACTAAGCTCCTCTGTGCATAGCATTTTCTAGGCAAAAACACTGGAGTGGGTTGTCATTTCACTCTCCAGGGGATCTTCCCCACCCGAGGATCGAACACAGGTCTTCTGCAGATTTTTTACTGTCTAAGCTAACATAGAAGCCCCTCAAGTGCATTATGCTAAGTTTAAAAAGCCAGACTATTTCAATTTATATGAAATTCTGGAAAACCAAAAGCATAACGATAGAGAATAAGGATGGAAAATAATCAGTAGTTGCCAGCAGTTTGTTATTGACCTCTAAGAGGCTGTTCAAGGAAATATTTTCAGGTGATAGTTTTTTGTAACTGGGTTGTGATGGTGATTAAACACTTTTTATATTTGTCAAAACTTACAGAATTGCATACACACAGCGAATTTTACTATGTGTAAATTGAAAAAAATTTTAGAAGAAACCTTCTTAAGCTGTATCTCTGAATATTGCTTCCTTTCTACTTCTTTATTTTCTCTTTGGGGACCCCTGTTAATTTTTTATCTTTTAATTAATTTATTTTTTATTGAAGGATAATTGGTTTACAGAATTTTGCTGTTTTCTGTCATACCTCAACATGAATTAGCCGTAGGTATACATATATCCCCTCCCTTTTGAAACTCCCTCCCAGCTCCCTCCCCATCCCACCATTCTAGTTTGATACAGAGCCCCTGTTTGAGTTTCTTGAGCCATACAGCAAATTCCCATTGGCAATATATTTTACATATGTTAGTGTAAGTTTCCATGTTACTCTTTCCAAGTTTTATGCTGTATGTTCTTCATCTTTTCTGTCTCATAATTTATCATTTTTTTCACTTTTTTAATGTAATTGGATGGACTCTCAGTATTATCTTTCATTTCATTAATTCTTTGTGTTTAAAGAAGAGTTTATTCCATCTTAAAATTTATAATTTTACAATTTCCAAGATTCTTCCTTGGTCCTTTTTTGAGTTAGTCATTCACTCTGCCAGAGGATGACTTGGTCTAGTTGTTGTCTCATTGGTTTTCTTTGCTTCTTCTAGTTAATTCCTCTTCCAGATCTCAGAGCTTAGCATGCCTGTGGTTTAAGCTACTAATTGTTTCTCTATATTGCTTTTCTTCTTTTGGTCATAGAAATATTTATCTTATTCTACTTGCTTTTATCATTTAATACTATCTGATGTTTCCTTATACCACTATACCTACAATTCTCAACTGAGGGTAACTCTGCCCCTGAGAATACATTTGATAACACCCGGAGGTGTCTTTGGTACAATGCAGAGGACAGCCCCTCAGACCAAGTCTCCAATCCAAAGGATCTGTACTTTTTTCATAAACACCATCATAGTTTAGTTGACTCCCTATATGGTACTGGGAGGTTTTTTTGGTTTTCTTTTCCCCAATATTATATCACTTTGATAAATAGTCTTATGTAACTTTTTTACACCATTAATTAATCCCCAAATGTAGATATTTCTGAATCCAAAGAAAACTAAGATTTGAGAGGCAGTATCTAGGAAGTTGAAAATTACTTAGAAAACAAAAGTCTTTATCATGTCATTCCCATAGTGGAACTTATAATACACATTCACACATAAAGATCTTCTATTAGTTTTAGTTTTAAACTCCTTCCCCCCGCCCCGAATATACTCCTAAGTTGTCTTGCATGCGTGCATGCTCAGTCACTTCAGTCGTGTCCAACTCTTTGCAACCCTACGGACTGCAGCCTGCGAGGCTCCTCTGTCCATAGGATTCTCCAGGCAATAATACAGGAGTGAGTTGCCATGCCCTCCTTCAGTAAGTTGTCTTAAGGCGCTTCAAATTCTATATAGGCTTCCTTGCGTTATGCTTATGTAGCAGATTTCAGAATCTTAATGAATGCTTTACCAACCTAACTGTAAATATATCATGCCTTCTTTAGTCTTAATTCTTTTTAATACAGACCAGTATTAAGATGCTTGGTAACAGGGATACAATACCTGCTAAGATAAGATAAGAACAGAGGACTGCCTTTAATTTACTGCTTGACCTAACTTCACTTGCTTCTCTCACCTAGGCTTCAGTTTTACCATATGTAAAATGAAAGAGTTGTATCATCTAATTCCCATAGGCTTTTCCACTTATAAACCTGTGATAGTTATTATTTACATTGCTTTTATTTGCCTTTTGGCTATGACCCTTTACTGTTCCTGAGATAGAGATAAAATGTTTAAAGATTTCTAAGATCTTGAAAAATTCCTCATATTTGGCCTTTACCATCCTTATCTCCCTCCTGGTAGTGATTGATAATAAAAATCTTAAAATGGAAATTGTCTTATGTTGGAGAACTACAAAGGATGGTGCTGGAAAAATAGCATAAAAATTCACAGCTGGATTGGAAAGGGAAAAAACTAGATAAGGAAAAAGGGGGTAAAACTAGGTCTCTAATTTTAGCAGGGTCAAAGAAATGTGCCCTACGGTCTTATCTTCATTAGCCCCCATGTAATTCTCAAACTCAGGATCTTGAAATTTATTAGAATTACACAGGACTAGAATTCAGGTCCCCCAACCTCCTAGTTAATATCTTAAACACTACACTATGTAATACCATTTGAAATATTATGGCATTTAATTTTACATAGAGAATGAAGATACATGCATGAAATAATCTTTCATAATTTATTTGTATAGGTTTTTTTAACCACTTAACCTATTTTCTGGCTGCTGGTGCTGTTACTTTGGGAATTGGTTTCTTTGCTTTGGCATCAGCCTTGTGGTTCCTGATTTGCAAACGAAGGTAAGATTTATTAGAGCATTTGACTTTTTTCTTTTAAAAATTCGATGAAAGATTTCCTCAAATGATATTAAACTTAAATAACTCTAAAGACATTTTATAATTTGACTGGGGAGAAAACTACTTGTTTAAAGTAGCCTGAACAGAGAAGTCCTAGTAGTATAATCGTCCGAGTAGTATAGTAGCAATCTTCATGCATGAAAATTTTAAGGAATAATGAGATGTGTTTTATTCTGTAGAAGACATGAGTTTGAATTATAATAAAGGGCTAGAAAAATTTTTAAATTTTTGATTACTAATTTAGGGATTAAAAAAGTTACTGAAAGAAAAAGACTCTCTTCCTTTAGGAGATAATTTAAGAAAAGAGCTGACAGAATGCTCTGGTATGGTCTAAGTGTAGTCTTTTGCCAGAGATGGAAATAAGAAACTTGATACCTCAGTTCCTTTCACCCCTAAAATTTGGTGTTTTTCATTATTTAATTGGTTCGGTATTTGCTTTGGCTCATGTTAAAAAATGTAATCTTCCCACACACTCTTCCAGTATTTCCTATTTCAGCAAGTGAATATATACTGTCTACTCACTTGCATAAGTCAGAAAATCAGAAATTATTCACTAATCCATTCTTTCAACAAATATTTATTGGGTGCCTGCCATTGTTCAGGGTACTAAAGATATAGTTGTGAACACTTGCAGTGCCACTAAGAGGAAACAGATAATTAACAAAATGGTGAGGAGAATGCGTCTTCCAGTGAATAATATTTAATCTGAGACTTGGCTTAAAAAAGGAGCCAGACATGTGATAACCCTGTGCAAGAGCTTTTCTTTATGCTAATGGAATAGTAAGTACAGGGATTTCAAGTGGGAATGATCTTGGTATTGTTCAGTAAACAGAAAATGTGAATAGATCAAGTGAGAGGGAAATAATGATGACATTAAAGAGGTAGATAGGGGTCAGATCACATAGGAGTTTGTAGGCAAGAACATGGAATTTAGATTTTATTATTTCTGCCATCAGAAGGTTTTAAGCAAGAGAATGGCATTATCATCATTATCACAGCTAAAATCAGGTATTTACTACATACTGTTCTAAGTGATTTATATGTTCTTATCTTCATTTAGACTTCATAGCAGCCCCATGAAGTTTCAGTAATATTATCCCCATTTTAAAGACTACAGTGCCACCTATAGATGATTTACATTTTATTAAAAATTTGAGATGCAGATTTTAAATATATAATGAGGAATTTCAACAAATATATTCCCATGTAATCACAACCCCATTGAAGACACAAAACTTTTCTATCATCCTGTAAGGATCTCTCATCCTCTTTTCCAGGGGTTACTCCCCACCTCTGACCCATAAGCAGTCATTATTCTGATTTTTATCACCATAGGTAAATTTTACCCATTTTTTAACTTCATATAAATGGACTTTTTACATTTGCTTTTCTCACTCAGCATAATATTTTTTAGATTCATTTATGTTGTTGAGTTTATCTTTTCATTCTTTTCATTGTATAAATATATCTCAGTTTGCTTTTCCATTTTTCAGTTAATGGACATTTAGATCACTTCCAATTTTTAGCTCTTAGGAATATGGCTGCTATGAGCATTCTTCTGTAAATCTTTTTGTACACATGTTTTTAACTTCTCTTGGGTAAATACTTAAGAGTGGAATTGCTGAATCTTATGATTAGATTTATAAGAAACTGCTAATCAGTTCTCCAAGGTGGAATTACACTCCCATTCAGCAAGGTATGAGAGTTTTAATTCATATTTGTAAAAGATTTTTCTTACATCTCTCTGACTTATGTATTTTAATGGAGTAAGAATAAAATCTGAGAGGCAAGTTAGGAGGCTACTGCAGAGTCTAGATTAAGGATGACAGTGTCTTAGACTAATATGGAAACAGAGGATATAAAAAAATGGAGTTGGATTGGGGATAATTTTGCAGGCAAAGTTAGGAGGTCTTGTTGATGGATTGGATGAGGCAAAGAAAGATAAGTGAAATGGCAGAGATAATGCTAACACCTACGTTTTTACCATGAGCAGCTGAGTATTTAATCATGCCATTTACTGAGATGAGGAGGTAATGGGGGGGGCACAAATTGAGGGAGTGGTGATAAACTAGGAGTTGTATTTTGGAGGTAAATTTGAAAGCCCTATGAGACATCCAAGTTAAAATGTTAAACAGACAGTTGGATATACATGTATGAACTTCAGGAGAGAAGTCAGGGCTAAAGATTTAGGTTATTAATGTATGGAGGGTATCTGGATGAGACTAACCAGGCAGTGATTTTTGAAAGAGAAGACTGTATGACTGTTCTCTTCAGCTCACCAACATTTAGAAAGCTAGAAAAAGAGCAAAAAGAATCAACAACATCCGAGAAGGAAATGCAGAAAGGTATGTGGTGTCAAGGAAGTCAAAATTAGAAAATGTTTTAAGAAGGAGGCGATGACCAGTTATGTTAAAGGTGCTTAAGAAGTTGAGAAAAATGAGGATAGAGAAATAATTTTTGGATTTAGCAATATAGAAGTTACTGGTAGCCTTGAATAGTTTTGGTAGAATGATGGGTTCAGAAACTTACTTTTGAGTAAAACCAGGAGGTGAGAAAATTAAAACAAATACATACGTTCTTTTAAGAAGCTTTTTTCGGCAGGGGTGTGTAGAGGAGTTGCTAAAAGGGGCAGAAACTGGAAGAAAATGTGAGGTAGAAAGAATTTTTTTTAAAACATCTATTTTAAGAAATTATTTATTTATTTTTGGTTGCACAGGGTCTTTGTTACTGTGCTCGAGCTTTTCTCTAGTTGCCACTCTTATTGCAGAGCACCGGCTCTAGGCACATATGCTTCAGTAGTTGCAGCTTATGGGCTCTAGAGCCTGGACTCAGCAGCTGCGGTGCACGGGCTTAGTTGCTCTGCAGCATGTGGAATCTTCCCAGACCAGGGATCGAACCCATGTCCCCTGAATTGGCAGGCGGATTCCTATCCACTTTCGCACCAGACAAGTCCAAGGAAAGATTGTTTTGTTCTTCCTCGAAACATGGAAAGCATGTTTGATATCTCCACCTCTCTTTCGCACCCCTACTAAACTTGAACCATCACCATGTTCTATTTATTTTACCTCATAAATTGTTCAAATCTATCCATTTCTTTCCATTACCTTTGCCACAATCTTATCCCCCATATAGACTCTGCAGTAGAAGTTATAACTGACCTTTACCTTCACTACTGACATCATTTAATCTCTTCTCCACACTTCAGCCAGATATTTTCCAAATGCAGATCTGATCAAGTCACCCTACACTTCCACCCCATTCCCACTGTGAAGGATATCCCATTGATTTTAGGATAAAGATAAAACAATATGACTTTTAAGGCCCTACATGGTCTCCCCATGCATATTCTCAAATTTCATTTCCCACTTTCCCTCTTGCTTTCTGTACTTCTGCTACACTGTCCTAATGTGGCCACTAGGTCTTTGTACTTGATATTCTCTGACTAGAATGTTCTTACTCCTACATCTCCCCTCCTCCACTCTTTCTATCTAATAACTGCTCCCATTTCTTCAAATGCCTAATTCAATCATTTCTTCCTCAGAAAAGCCTTCCCTGACCTTTCTAATCAGGTTAATTCCCTTTCTTATGTACACACAGAGTAGTGGGTAGTTTTCCTTGTTAGTACTTTCCATAGTTGTAATTTTTTCATTTTTTTGTGTTTATTACTATCTGTCTTCGTTGCTAGTGTTTAAGCTCCATGAGCACAGTGACAGTTCCATGAGTGTAGTGGCTGTGCTTTTTCTTCCCTGCCACTGTATATAACACCCAGCATAATGCCTGGCCCATAGTAAGTACTCAGTATATATATGTGAAGTAAATTGAATTCAATAAGTGATGGCTTTTAATTGTTAATACTGTATTAAGTAACATAATATGATCTCTTGAATTAATTTGGAAAATTTCTAGTACCTCAGAAAAAAGAAATGGAAATCAGCATTATTTTTTAAATTAAATCTAGAATTACTATTAGAAACTACAATCCTTTATACTTAACTGTCTTCAGTCAGCTGGAGTTTTACTTGCTATTTCATTATTTTAGAAATAATGTGGCTACATGCATAAAGATCACAGGTATTCTTCCCTTATAAGTCATTAGTTTCAATTCAGTTTCCTTCTACTTACTTTTGCCAGAGATGTTATTAAATATAAAAATGGCCAATGAGTTTCATTCATTTAATTTCCTATGCCATTAAAGGCAGTTCTATGAAAAGCCTAATTGACTTTAAAGTTGATTATCTCACAGCCAGAGAGAGAAGATTATAAAAAACTAATGGTTGATCTTCAAACTGGAAATATTAACCCTTTGAGGAAGTAGCTTAATTTACATTCTATGAACAAAATATGTGTTGTGAAATCAGTAACATATGAGAAGAGAATATATAAGTTGATTTGCACTTTTGAAAGTAAATATGTAATAATATATTCTGATTTTAAACCATTTATATAGAACTGTTGGAAACAATGATTTTGTTTTATAATTCATGTTTAATAATGTTCTCTGTAAAATATTTTTCAGAGAAATATTTCAAGACTCTAAATTTAAAGCAGTTGATGAGAGATGCAGACAAAGACCATCAAAGGCGAAGATTAAATCTCATCCTCAGTGTGTTTTTATTTCTCGTAATTTTCATACTGGAAGATTCCAATCACAGGTAGTGTATAATATTTTATAGCAATCTTTTCAAATAATTTCTTGTGACACCATGTCATTAGCATTTTTGTCTTTATTTTAATTATCCACTACTGTTTTTAAATTTGAGGGACAATAACATGGAGCTAAATTTAAATTACCCAAACTAGTTAGAGTTTATATTATAGGAAATTGAAAGGCTAAGTGAAAATGTCTCCTGTAGTTGCTTCCCTATATCTCTAGCTTGAGAACCTACATTCCCCATATTGCAGTTGTTATAGGCTTGAAGATAAATGGAGTAACAAAAGCAAAACAAAATTGCCAAGCCTATGAAAAGAGAGATTTGGAAATAAGAGGATACTCAGATAACCAAAAAATCTAATCAAACCAACTAATTGACATTAAATACAGTTTAACAAGGATTTATTAAGGCTTCATTACATTCTGAGCTCTTGGCCCTCCCTGTTGATAGTAAGATATGAACCTTACCTTCAAAGTGCTAGTGTAGTAAAGTGGAAAAGACTGACACATAATTAACTTTCTGTTATATGGTATCAAAATAGTGTTGTATGGACAAAGTAAAACAAGGGAGACACCAGTAGAAACTTAAAACTATGGTATAGCTAAACAGTGTTTTATTAATGTTTTTGGATTCCATGTCTAATATATTCTTCCTTTTTCTGTTATATTTCTGGGCCTCATCCAGATTGGTGCATATACTGATTATTCATTTTTTTTATTATGTGGTGTTCTGTTATATGAATATGTCAAGTTTTATGTTATAAACATTTAAATTGTTTTCAGCTGTTTTTTTTAAGGAAATTTCCATGGAATGTACCTAACATTGGAATCACTGACTCATGAGATTTGTGCATGTTTAATATTATTAGATAAATTCAAATTATTTTCCAAAGCAGTTCTGTCAACATACATTCCCCTAAGGCATGTAAAATTGCTAGGATTGCTCCATATCAACAAGACCTGATATTTTTAGGCTACTAAGTTTTTAACAATCTGATGGATGTGTAATAGTATCTCACTATAGCTTTCTCTTAGTAGACTTTATTTTTCCAAGAGGTTTTAGGCTTACAACAAAACTAAGGAGGAAGTATAGCATTCTCATATACTCCTTACCCCTACTCAAGTACAGCCTCCTCTACCATCAACATCCTGAGCCAGAGTGGTACAGTTGTTAACTACTGATGAATCTACATTGAGACATCATCACCCAGAGTCCATTGTCTGTTACGATTCACTCTTGAATCCTACATTCTATGGGTTTTGACATGTATGTAGTGACAGAAACACACACACACATACACACACACAGAAAAACAGGGACAGATGGAGAGAGATATGTGGGCAACATTATATTAATAGCATCACACACAATAGTTTTACTACCCTAAAGATCTTGTTCCATGCTTGTTCAAAGAAAGGATCATCCAACCAGCAGTCATTTAGCGGTTTCCATGTTTTTGCCTATTCTAGGATGTCGTATAGTTGGAATCATACAGAATGTAACCTTTTCAGGCTTCTTTTTCTTATTAATATGCATTTAAAGTGCTCTCTGTCTTTTCAAGGCTTGATATCACATTTCTTTTTGGCACTGACTAATATTCCATTGTATGGATCTGTTGTTGGTCAGTGGTGTCCGACTCTTTGCAAACCCATGGACTGCAGCACACCAGGTTTCCCTGTCCTTGACCATCTCCCTAAGTTTGCTCAAACTCATGTCCATTGAGTCAGTGATTATCATCTAACCATCTCATCCTCTGTCATCCCCTTCTCCTCCTGCCTTCCATCTTTCCTGGCATCAGAGTCTTTTCCAGTGAGTAGGCTCTTCACATCAGATGGCCAAAAGTATTGGAGCTTCAGCTTCAGCATCAGTCCTTCAATGAATATTCAAGATTGATTTCCTTTAGGATTGACTGGTTTGATCTCCTTGCAGTCCAAGGGACTCTCAAGAGCCTTCTCCAACACCACAGTTTGAAAACTTCAATTCTTCAGTGCTCAGCCTTCTTTATAGTCCAACTCTCACATCCATATATGACTACTGGAAAAACCATAGCTTTGACTATGTGGACCTTTATCAGCATAGAATGTATGGATCTACCTCAACAGTTTATCCACTCCCTTACAGAAGGATATCTTGGTTGCTTTCAAGTTTTAGCAAGTATGAGTAAAGCTGCTATAAACATTCAGTGTGCAGATTTTTGTGTGGACATATATTTTCAACTTATTTGGGTAACTACTGAGTAACATGATTGCTGGAGTAACTGGTAAGAGGTGTTTAATTTTGTGAGAAACTACTGAACTGCCTGACAAAGTAGCTGTACCATTTTGCATCCCCACCAGCAATGAATGAGAGTTTCTGTTGCTCCACATCCTCACCAGGACTTAGTGGTGTCAGTGTTGTATTTTCACCATTGTAATAGGCATATACGTATAGCTGAGCTATTTCAAATCCTAAAAGATGATGCTGTGAAAGTGTGGCATTCAATATGCCAGCAAATTTGGAGAACTCACCAGTGGCCATAGAACTGGAAAAGGTCAGTTTTCATTCCAATCCCAAAGAAAAGCAATGCCAAAGAATGCTCAAAGTACCACACAATTACACTCATCTCACACATTAGTTAAGTAATGCTTAAAATTCTCCAAGCCAGGCTTCAACAATATGTGAACTGTGGACTTCCAGATGTTCAAGCTGGTTTTAGAAAAGGCAGAGGAACCAGAGATCAAATTGCCAACATCCGCTGGATCATCAAAAAAGCAAGAGAGTTCCAGAAAAACATCTACTTCTGCTTTATTGACTATGCCAAAGCCTTTGACTCTGTGGATCACAATAAACTATGGAAACATCTCTTTAAGAAATTTGAATACCAGACCACCTGACCTGCCTCTTGAGAAATCTGTATGCTGGTCAGGAAGCAACAGTTAGAACTGGACATGGAACAAACTAATTCCAAATAGGAAAAGGAGTACGTCAAGGCTGTATATTGTCACCCTGCTTATTTAACTTAATGCAGAGTACATCATGAGATACGCTGGGCTGGAGGAAGTACAAGCTGGAATCGAGATTGCCAGGAGAAATATCAATAACCTCAGATATGCAGATGACACCACTCTTATGGAAGAAAGTGAAGAAGAACTAAAGAGCCTCTTGATGAAACTGAAAGAGAAGAGTGAAAAAGTTGGCTTAAAGCTCAACATTCAGAAAACAAAGATCATGGCATCCGGTCCCATCACTTCATGGCAAATAGATGGAGAAACAGTGGAAACAGGGACATAATTTATTTTGGGGAGCTCCAAAATCACTGCAGTTGGTGACTACAGCCAAGAAATGAAAAGACACTTACTCCTTGAAAGGAAAGTTATGACCAACCTAGATAGCATATTAAAAAGCAGAGACATTAGTTTGCCAACAAAGGTCCATCTAGTCAAGGTTATGGTTTTTCCAGTAGTCATGAATGGATGTGAGAGTTGGACTATGAAGAAAGCTGAGCACCGAAGAATTGATGCTTTTGAACTGTGGTGTTGGAGAAGACTCTTGAGAATCCCTTGGACTGCAAGGAGATCCAACCTGTCCACCCTAACAGAGATCAGTCCTGGGTGTTCATTGGAAAGACTGATGTTGAAGTTGAAACACCAATACTTTGGCCACCTGATGAGAAGGGCTGACTCATTTGAAGACTCTGATGCTGGGAAACATTGAGGGCGGGAAGAGAAGGGGACAATAGAGGATGAGATGGTTGGATGGCATCACCAATTCAATGGACATGAGTTTGAGTAAACTCCGGGAGTTGGTAATAGAAAGGGAGGCCTGGCGTGCTGCAGTCCATGGGGTCGCAAAGAGTTGGACACGACTGAGCTACTGAACTGAATAGGCACGTAATTGTTTTTGTTGTTTTTATTTTTCATTTCCCTAATAATATATGATGCTAATAATCTTTTCATATGTTCATTTGCCATCTGTATATCTTCTTTGGTGAGTTGTCTGTTCAGATCTTTTGCTCAATTTTTTTTTTTTTTTGCTCAATTTTTAATTGGGTTGTTCGTTTTATTATTGTTGAGTTTTAGGGGTTCTTTGTACATTTTGAATAACAATCTTCTATCAGATATATCTTTTCCAAACACGTTTACCTAGTCTGTGTCCTGTCTTCTCATTCTCTTGATATCTCACTATAGTGTTAATTTGTATTTTCCTGCTAAAAAATGAAGTGATTGTCTTTTCTAAAGATCATTGGCCATTACTAATTTCTCTTATGTAAAATGCCTGTTCAGGTTTTTTACCCCTTTTTCTATTTATCTTTTTTTATGAAACTTTAAAAGTTTATATTAATATAAATTTATATGTATTAATATAAATTATATAAATATTATATAAATGGATACCTATTCCTTTATCAGTTATGTGAATTTTGATACCTTCATCCACTTTTGGCTTTTGTTTTCACTGTTTTTTAAAGTGAAGTATAGTTGACTTACAATATTGTGTTACTTTCAGGTATCCAACAAAGTGATTCAGCTTATATACATATATTTATTATACATTAAATTTTCAGATTATTTGCCATTATAGGTTATTAGAAGATAATAATATAGTTCCCTGTGCTATTCATTAAATCCTAGTTGTCCATCTATTTTTTATATATAGTGGTGTATATCCGTTAATCCCATACTCTTTTTTTAAAATAATTATTTGTTTTGTTTTTTAATTAAATTAATTTATTTTAACTGGAGGCTAATTACTTTACAATATTGTAGTGGTTTTTGCCATACATTGACATAAATCAGCCATGGGTGTACATGTGTTCCCTATCCTGAACCTCCCTCCCACCTCCCTTCCCATCCAATCCCTCAGCGTCATCCCAGTGCACCAGCCCTGAGCACCCTGTCTCACGCATCGAACCTGCACTAGCGATCTGTTTCACATCTTATAATATACATGTTTCAATGCTGTTCTCTCAAATCATCCCACTCTCGCCTTCTCCCACAGAGTCCAAAAGACTGTTCTTTACA